TATGTATCAAATGTATAAAAAGAGCCACAACTAAAAAAAAAATTAATGAAGATTTTTTAATAATTAGAAAATTTTAAAAAACATCATACATCTCTAATTATTTTTCAGATCTTCTAATCTATAATAATTTAGATCTTTTTAGGATCTATAATAAGACTATCATTTAAAATGATGTATCCTAAAAAATTAATTTAAATAGTATAGAATACACACTTTTTTATTTTGGTATATAATCTTATATTTTTTAGTTTTTAAAACATATCATAAATATAAAATTCATGCTCTTCTATGTTCTTAGAATAGATTAAATTATTATCCATATAATAGATAATAAAGTCATCAAGAAACTCACAAAAGATATCACTCATTAAAAATTGAAAAGCAATTAGTCCATTCATTAATCCAAAAGGCAAGATATTATATTCAAAATATCCATACTCAGTTCAAAATATAATTTTCAATCATCTCCTTCTTTAATGCTTATTAGGTTATATGCTCCTTATAGATCTATTTTTGTATAGATTTTCCTTGATTGACTTAATCAAGAAGTCTTAAAATCAAAGATAGAAAATACCTATTCTTGATAGTGATCTTGTTTAGTCCTTGATATTCTACATACATTTGCAAAGATCCAACTTTTTTCTTTACAAATATGATATAATTCTTTGTTGAAGATTTTAGAATATCAAATGAAATTCTTAACCAAGTTCTTATTAATGTATTCCTTGAATGCAACCAATTTGTTCTATAATAGGCTATAAATTGGTTCAAATAGTGATTAATCTCCATCTTGAAGACTAATGGAATAAATATAGGAATGATGTTTTGAAAAAAATATTTATATTTTTTGTTTCAAAAACGTCTTAATAATCTAAATATGGATTTAGAATACGACTTGAAATCATTTTTTTTATCAAAAATAGATGTGGTGTATATATCAAAAATTAATATTTTTTTTTCAACATGCATGAAAAATCTTGCACCTACCAATAAGGATTTGGTTGTATTGAACTTGTAAATTTCTACTTGGCTAGCAAAAACTTGGATTGGATTATGGAAAAAATCAAGATTATAAAAAATTTAATCTATTTGGTGGCAAAAATTTGGATTAGATTATGGAAAAAATGAAGATTATAAAAAATCTAATTTATTTGGTGATTATATTTTTTAACTATGATGATCTTAAAATAATTGAATTAGAAGAAGATTTAATCACATTAAATACTACTAAGCTATTACGACTATTAATTATTAAATTTAAAGGAACCATTTCATAGGTGACATCTCTAGAAGACAATGAATAATCATCAATTATTTTTATGTGCATAGATTTGATTTTTTAACTAAGGAATTTTTTATTTTTTGTTAAAGTCTTTGTCTATTAAACAAGCTAAGACTCCTGAATCTAATATTGCTAAGACTTTGTTATTTTTTAGTTTTAAACAAATTTCTATTATAAAATAAGGTGAAGGATTTGAAGAGAGGATAGGATTTTTACTAGGTCTTGCATAAGATTCTAGCCACAAGGTCCCTATTGTAACTAGAGAAATTTTTTCTTTGATACATCATCCTCTTTAGCAATCATGCTCTTTATTTTGTGATTATGTTGCTTCTTTGAATAATATTAAGTAGTACACTTAGATTCTCTACAAAATAGGTACATAATCAATAAAGAAAAAATTATGAAAAACTTTTGTTTATATTAGAAATTAAGATTCATGTAGCCATGTTCAAAGATGTATTCAAGGAATGTATTGCAATTAATAATTTACTTACTTAAGTAAAATTACAAAGAATTACAAGAAAATCTTTCTTAGACCTTATTTCTTTTATAGTTGTCACAAACATATATATTTACTCCAAAAATTATTTAGATATTACGAATAGATAAAAGTAGATTAATTTTATAATATATTATAAAAATAATATTTAGAAGCTTTATAGATGTGGTTTTGCTTTTACACTTGTCCATAGGTGATTGGTAGATTAGAAACACAGTCAATAAGTTAGTCATGTATTACACATTTTCGTATTATGATTCGGCTACCATGTAAAAATAATGGATTTATATATTTAATATACAATATACTAGACAACATGGTGAAATCCATGTTAGTGGATGTTTATTGATTATAAGATGTGCATAGATTGCTAACTCAAAAAGAGGTTGTTTAAAAGAGCTTCTATTAGAATTTATATAACTTTATTTTCTTTTAATAGTAACTTTGAAGTTGATATTATTAATAGTAAGTTTTAAATATTTAGAATCACTTTTGTTAGATATTGGTGTCTCTTAAAGTCTTATTTTGTTTCTTTTATATGTTGTTTAGGGCATATATTGTCTAAATCTTGTAAAAAACAGAGATGGAGAGGGATAGAAAAAAAGGTAGTTAGAGCATCTATATGAATGAATGGAGATAGATGATATAAATCTCTATTCCTATTGGTCAAAAATCATAACCAATGGGCTTCAAGGAGGCTGCCAGAGGCCATATTAGGGATTAGGGTTATATTTTTGAGCCATTTGAGCTTTTGGAGGCTAAGGTCAATAAGTTTAGATTTTTGACTATGGTTTTAGTACAAATTTTGAATCAATTGGAGTTTTTATGAAGGAGATATAGGCACTCAAAGTTGAGGTGTTGATTTTGTATCTAGTGTCTTTCTTTTGAGTATAACGTACGCATATATAAAGCAATAGAGGATCGGCAACTGGGGTTGGAGAGAGCACTTTTTTGGCTATAGTTTTGGTATATTTTTTGATGGATTCTAAATTGAAATGAAGGAAATACTGGAGGTTGAAATCAACACTTGCAAATCTAAGGGTAGTAAGTGACCCAATTCACTAGTGGTTGTGTTTTGAGCTATATCTTGAGGAATTTGATGAGATTTTGGCTCAAAATTTCCAAGAATGTGTGTAATCATGTTAGTAAACTTTATATACAAATTTTGTGGCATTTGGATTTTGGATTTTTGAGATATAAGAAAAATAGTTTTTGAGTGCTTGTAGATTAGGATTTAGAGTACTTGCTAGGATTTCAAAGATGACAAAAGATCGGTAATAGATTTACTGATCATTTTTTTGTAGTAAAGCTTAAAGATAGAATCTATATCAAATAGAAATTTGAGAAAAATTGAACAATTGGATCAAGAAATATAAATTTCCAAAGTTTAGGCTAAAAACATCTTTTGTGAAAAGAAAAAGTTTTGAAGGGTTTTATTATAATTTGAGCTTTTGTGCAAGATAAAGGGATTTTTGGGAGATAAGACATCATATATAAGCCAAAGCTAAACTCTCTATAGCTAGGTACCCAAAGTATTCTTAAATTACAAATTATGCCATACAACAATGTATTAATAGCTTCTAGTACGAGCTAACGATAAGATGCACATATAAGAAACTTGTCTTGCAAGTTAAGACACATGTCTTGAAAATTAGACAAGTATTGGAGGTTTCATAGAACATTGTCACATAGCTTTTAATTAGATAATATATATGGAGGCAAGAATGAAGCCTTCTTCACTATTGTCAATTCCTTACTAATTCTTAATTTTATTTCAAAAATTTCCAATCTTCTTGTCTTTGGCAATAGTCATTCTAGCTTAATATTATACTATCTTTGAATGATTCTCCTATCTTTTTAAGTAATACAAAAGCATATTAATCTTTTAGTTTATTGAGTTTCATATCTTTTATAGTTTAACAAGACTACTAATTTATTATCTTTGTCTTGTTTTTAGAAGTGAATGGACTATCTCACTTCTGTTGTTGTATTTTGAAGGTTGTAGACTATCCATCTTCAATCTAACATTTTAATTCCTTAATAGTGATTTTTTTCTTAAAGAAAGTAGATTACCCCTGTTTGTAGCAATTTTCTTTTGATATTAGAGGTTACAAATTACCTTCTTCTAATTTAACTTGTAGATTTGCAACCATTGCAAATCTTCATAAACTTGTTAATACTCTTAGGATGGAAATTTGTCATATTTCTAAATGCCATAGAGATAGAATTCCAATGCCTATGAAAGAAATCAATAATGAAGTTTAAAGCCTTTGCTACAAAATTATGCAATTGAGAGAAGAAAATAGATGAAGTTTATAACTAAATTTGATAAGTCTTGCTATTACAATTTATTAATTATAGAAACTTTATAATTTTTTTATATTTAGAAACTTTAATAAAGCATATATATATATATATATATATATATATGATATTGTATGTGATATAAAATAATATTGTTTTAAAATATAAAAATAAATAAATGATTATATTATTATTAATATACCAATGTATATAAAATTATTTATTTAATTATATATTAATAAAATAATAATAATAATAATAATTTAAATTATTTATTTATTTATTTTCTTCTCAAATATTATTACTTAATTAAATTAGCTATACATATAATATTTGATTTATGATAGTCTTCTAAATATATCTAAAAAGCTCTTCAAAAGTAGTAAAATATCTTCAATATTTTAGAATAAAATTATTGAATTTTATAGATATTTTTAAATATTAATTATTATTATTATTAATTATTTATAGATTAAATTATTTTAGTTAAAAAATTAAAGTTTAGAAAAATATTATATATTAGAAATAAAATTCATAAAATTTAAATTTTTTATAAAAACATTATTTATCTCATCATTAATTTTTAAAAATAAAATGTTTTATTCTTTAAAATTTTATTTGTATCAAACATGTCATTAATACAATTTTTAGATATATTTTTATGTAAATATTTGCATATTATTTATTTCTGGGACTTAAACAAGGTCTTTAAATCTGTGATCACAGTCCACCTCGATTCGATGGGTCCCGACATCCAACATTCATCATTAGAGACATGTTTCATCCTAAATACTCGAATATTGGATTGGAATATGGATGAACAGAGCCTCGAGGGATGGAAATCATTCGTCAACGGTGTGTCGTCTCTGTGGTGCTTTAGCAGTCTCTGGGGCTCTGGGGCTCTCAGTGGCTGGCTGGCTATGGCCGTTGTTTGTAGCGTCGTTGCCACGCCCGTTTCAAAGCTGCGCTTGCTCACCCAAATCTCCGCCACCGCCGTACCCTTCTCCTTCTCCTCCCTCCCCTCGCCACTTTTGTAGTGTGTTTTCTTTCTTGCATCGCACGCTGTGTAGGGTTTCCTTCTCTTGTTTCCATCACTGCTTCAGCGAGATGCGTAATTTGAATTTTTGAATTTTTATTTTCTGTGGGTTTTGGTGATGGCAAGTGAGAAACGAGTGCCTCACTGTTTGTGTTTGTGTGTTCGAGTGGGAATAAGCCGGTAGGTGGTGTGTCGATAGTTCGTGGTTTGCGGTTTTTGAAAACTTTACCATTTCCTGCCTCGGTTTCTCCATCTACTTTAGCACCGGGGCTTAGTTCCTCGCTTTAAACTTTTTTTTGGTTTGGAGATCGCCGTTTTTTTTTTTCTTCTTCTTCTTATCTTTTTTCTTCAAGGTGCGGTGTTTTTATTTTCTGTAAGGGTGGGTTTTGTTATTTGTGTTTGTTGAGGTTTCTGTGGTTGCAATGATGTGTGAGAGCGTGTTTGTGGTTTTAGGGATAGTGTCAGTTTGTTGAGTGCATCGTTTATACTTATTCGATCCAACTTCCTGCAATTTTTTTTAAGACTCGCGGCCTTCGGTGGCAGCTCGTGCCAGCCGATGATTTATTAAGATGAATTGATTTGTTTTGTATCAATTCACGATTCATGCTTTGGGTAGATTTTTAAGCGCTACGGCTTACGTTGATTTTGTTTGAAAGTTTTCGGAGTCTCGTTTAGTGGTCTCACATGATTAGAAGATGGTCGCCATGAAGAACGCACTGTTAATTTTGGTGCTTCTGATCACCGCCTCGTTCAATCGTCACGATGTCTACTCTTCACCGGATCCTCTGTCTCCAAGCGAGGTTGCAGTGGGGTCAGAATTCGATTACGTTAGTAAAGAGCCGAGGGTGGAGTTTCCTGTGGACGACGGTCGGACGATGCAACTGCTGAAGCCAGGAACCAATCATGATCAGCTTGAGCTTAATCAGATGGTCCTTGAAAAACTGGCTGCAATAGAAGAGCCGTTATCCTTCGTCTCCGTCGTTGGCCCTTACCACGGGTATTGTTCCTACTTCAAAATGTTATCGTCATCCGTAAAATTGTGCATGTCAGTTATCATGTTATTCATCTGATCCGATGAACATCCGCAATTTTCCCTGGCTAATACGCGTCTTTTACATTCACGTTTCTCCACACTAATCTACGTTGTTTGATATGGTTTGCATGAATAACAGCGGAAAGTCGTTCCTCCTCAATGTGCTGGTCAACTCCACTCAGGGATTCTCTGTTGGTGCTGTACCCGACCCCGAGACACGGGGAATATGGATACGAGTGGTGCCGAAGGAGAAATTGGTTGGTAAAGATGGTTCACGAGTTGTGTTGGTGGATACCGAAGGCTTTTATGGGGAGGGTGCTACTCGGTCATACGATGCCCGCATCTTTGCCATAGCGACTCTCATGAGCTCACATCTCATCTACAACACACTTCGAACCATTGGTGAGTAAATGAAGTGCCTATGGGTTTAAGGCTTAAACCCTTACCTAGCAACAGAACACTCATGATAGGGCTTTTAAGGAGAAATTTCCAGTCTAGTAATGAATTCTTCACAGTTGAATGCAGTCACAAGCATGGAAGAATAACGTCTTGTTATGTCAGCTTTCTTTTCTCAGTTATCATGATCAGTATGTCTTATATATTTTGGTCGCACACATTTAAAATGCTTTTTACAAGCATAAGGCTGGTATTCTCGGATATAATAATTCCAAAATAAATTGTCACGTACCGCATTAATCCACACCTCTAACTACCAGCTGAAAGTAGCTCATTTGTTGTCACATGTACATTCTCACTTCGTTGAATTTAAGAAGAAAATTTTCTTTGATGAATACAATCTTGAACTTAAACTATGAAACATGCCCGTAGCAGTTTTTGAACCAACGCCAGCGTAGTACCTATTTTTTTAAACTTTTTTTCTATTTTGGTTGCAGGTGATGCACAATCCGTGAGTGCTTTAGCTGATTTAGCAAAGCAAGCGCAGGTGTTCAATCTTCAAAATTGGTTACATTCTGCTGAGGCCAAGTCTGGTTCGTTAACGTTTCCACTTTACTTACCCAATTAGTCACTGCCTGTTGGTAGGGGGCGCTGAATTAGCGTTCTATTCTCGTATGTCTGAATTATTCATTTTCCCTCTCCAAGCGTGTTGCTTTAATTTTGGACTCGTGCGTTTGTTCGATTGTATGCTTTGCGTATATTCGTGTGAAAATCTCTAATTAGCATCTGATTCGTGGACAGATCAGCAGCAATTTTCTTCGCCAACCAACATGGATCCTTTTCTCCTTCTGAAGACCCTTGACTTCCCCCCACTCACTTGGGTTGTTCAAGGATTTGACATGGAAGTTTCCGATGCACATAGTCCTATGGATCATCTGAAGAGGTATTTGGAGGCTCATGCTCATAGTGGTGATCGAACAATAGACACCCTCTTCACTAAGGGAATCTCTTGTTATACTATGCGATCTCCAACGGACCTGAACAAACTCCGAGAAGAGGTAGGGATCTTCGGCTTCATGACAGTCTGACGATTTTTCAACAGCTCTTATCGGATATTTGTTCGAAGTGTTAACTGATTAAGTCTTTGTTGTGATTGAAGTTCGATATTTTCACGCGTTGTTGTTGATTGATTTGAATGTATACGTTGGTTATCTAAATGTTTACATCGGCTTTTTAAAAATATAACTCCAAAATTTTTTGTACCATGACTTTTTAGGTTGGAGGTGAAGGTTTAGCAGCTCACACAGAACTCTATTCACGTTTGCACCCTAATTATTTGGCCGATGCTGCACGTCTACAAAGAGCAGTTTTCGGAAGCCTGATAGCCAAAGGCGGGTTCAATGGGAAAACTCTTGCCGGAATCTTACCCCTTCTTGTTCACTACGTCAATGAGGACTTTCCCTTGAATGCTGAACGGAAATTACGAGATGTATTGACAGAGGTCGTTATTGATGGTGCTTTCTCTGGTGGAGCCCAGTATTTTCAAATGGCCATGCAGAATCCCACGTTGCCACCTGGTGCGAGAGGTAAAGCAGGAGAGGCTATTCTATCAAAGCTTGAGCGAAACGACTCCTTGAATTTGCTGGTCTCAACAGCTTTTACAGCCAAAGAACTTGAAGGCATCATGTCTGCTGCAGGTAATGTCGAAACTGGCATTAATCCATGTATGTGTTGATGGTTTTACACTCGGAACCTATTATGATCATTTGTATTATAGGTTTCTAACAAAGGTCATAAAATAGGAGAACACAAACAAAATACTGGCCCAGAGACCATGTCACCAATATTTTGTAAGTAGTGTATTTTTCTAAGGATTTGGGAAGTCATTGTAATTATTTACATTGGGGGATGCGGGATGTGGTTTGTGTGACTCCTTGTTTAGAAGTCGAGTTTTATGGAGAAAACGCTTCCCAATCTGCCCGTAGCAGCAGCTTCAATCTTCTACTTCATCATTGTACCTCAAGAGATTTTGGGCTAAAATTTAATTTCTTTTGGCAGAGACTAAGGCCGTTGAGTATTGTAAACAGCGTTGCGTCGGAGTTCCTACAGGGCGAATAGGTCCAACCTGCATTGCCCAACTTGGGGCAAAAATTGGTCGAATGAAACCGAAATACAGGTTTGATTTGCAACTCTGTGTATGTCTTTGTTTTTTGCTCTCTGGACCTTTCGCAAGAGGCAGTCGACTTATAACATGATGACGTATCGATTGAAGGCTTATGTGATGATTGAAATACTTCCAAAAATGTTTATTGATGGACAACATTATCAGGGAGGAAAATGAGCGTCGTGTGAAGCAAGTGTTAGTGGAGCTAGGTGACGACCTACGATTGTCTGCTGAAAGAGAAGTGGAAGAGCTGCATCTGCCAATGCGTGATGCTGACATAGAGCGCCTATGCAAGCAATGTCAGAATAGGGTACTCCAAGGGTGAGTATGCAGCCACATTTGTGATAGCTTAGTCCGCACTTCCGTGCTTTCAAAGTGTTCACTATTTTTGTTACGAAATGACTCTGCTCTGAATTGGCAAGCTTGGGATTACATATCAAGTTATTTTTATTCACTATAATAACATAGGTTTTTTGTTGTTGCAGATATGAGTCTCTAGTAGGTCCTCATCGTGGGAGCAACTTGTATAACGAAGCTCGTTCACAGTTCATATCCGCCATACAGACAAAGTGCGACAAGGTCTCGTTGATTAACTCGGAAAAGATAACCAATCTATTGAACAACGCTAAAGTAGCTTATCAAGAAGCATACGGAAGTACCATTCAAACAGGTATTTTGGGAAGTGATGGAGTCCAGGAAGATGGTCACCAAAAGGACTACAAGAGAAAAGAAGAAGCACCTATTCCTCCTAAAAGACTTCTGGATATTCACAAGGCCGCCATCAAGGCTGGACAAGAGGCTTTTGAAAATTTTGTGAAGGCTGCAGGGCTCCCATGGGTTGGTCCAGGAGATAATCGTTACGACTTTTACTTGTATACAAGTTTGCAATATTCCAAGAAGCAGTACGATAAGCTCCGGGTATGTTGCTACTTTAGCTTTCAAAAGTATGCCCTAATGCAAGCACGATAGTTTGACTTTGTTTACTTACACTCGAACGACTGTTTAAAAAGTGTTTGCTTAACCATTTTGTGAGTGCAGGAGGAAAACGAAAGAGTGATCTTAGCCTACGTTGCGATGCGAGCGGCAAATTTGTCTATGCAGTTCAAGGAAGCAGTGGCCAATATCACCCCCTTTCCGGACAACGATGAAGTCCTTTCCGCAAAGGTAAGCGCATTCGATATATGATGTTTTTTATGTAGTAGCATCGAAGCAAAGATGTCAGCTGATGTCGTCAAACACGCGAAATTTCAGGAAACAATTGGAGCAGAGTTGTGTTTTCTTTAGTTTTGTTCCTGTATATCGAAGTTCTTTTGTAAGCTTTTAGTTCAATTTTTATCTTTCTCCTCGACATTTGAATGTTGATTGGTTACTTGTTAACTTGCAGGCAGATCAGTTATCAAAAATAACTCTGGAGGAGTTCGCTACTACTGTAAAAGATTACGTAAGCGTAAGTGGAGTAGATGATCAAAGAAAAGATTTGATCTCTCAAATTCAGGAAACCCACGCTCGCTTTCTCAAGAAGAACACTGCATTGATGGCGGCATTCTGTTATGATCCTCTTCAGGAAGCTTACAGGGAACTCCGGATGCAGGTTATTTCTCTCTCCCGTTTTTGACTTGATTCGATCTGTGCACGTAATGCGCTTCAAACCCAGTCGTCCCTTTGATCATTTTATTACCGTATTGGAATTTTGTCTGATTTCTTTTTATCTTTTGCATATCTTTGCAGGAGTGTGAGTTGAACTCCAAAAACATATGGAAGACCCGGACATGGTGGTCTCGAAAGTGCCTGTGGCCAGGACCTCGTTATACTTTTGGGTTCAAGTATGCTGCGTTCTCTGCTGCACAGAAACATCTGGACAGGGCACAGGCTGCGCCTCGCAAGGGGGGCAATGATGTTGGTGTAGTCCTCAGCCCTGCGACACGGAACAAGGTTATTGAATCGTGGGTTGAACACGACTTGGCTCGTTTTTCCACAACAGTTTTCTTCAACTTCAGTCTGCTGAGCGCCATCTTAGTGATTCTCATAACCTCTGTATCGTGGCTATTTGGACGGTTGGGTTTGAGCCATAGCAGCAAGAAGCCCCCAATCAGAAAGCCCATGAGTTCGCCTTCGCCCTTAAAGAAGCCTCCCATGGAGTATTCTCCTTACAACAACGGCAGCGCTTTCTACCCACGTTCCCCTAACTTTTACCAATAGAATGAGGACCACTGTGTTCAAGAGATCTCTATTGACTACCCTGTTTCACCCGATAACAGTTCCCTCTTTTTTCTCACAGGCATGAAAGACTGGTCTACCAGCCTTAGTTATAACCTAGTTGTCTGTACTGCTCTCTGTGGTGATTTAGTTGTGCGTCTCGGGTCTAAGGATACGGTCTGGTGTTGGTTACCTCTTTTTCATTGCAGTGTACCATTTCAGAGTAGTCACTCCGGCTGGAAAGTGAATTAGTGTAGCAAAAAGAGTGCTAGGAAGGTTAGATGCATCTGAGTTTTTTCGAAATTGTCAGAAACTTCCATCAGTTACAAATTGATGTGTGGAAGGTACATATTTGAGTGGCCTGGAAGAAGTTTGTGTGGCTCTCCAATAGGTTTATCTCTACGAGAAGACAGATCGATCGATCTGAACCTTTGAACAGATGTCAATTATTGATGATGTATCATTATTCAGTTTCTGTGGCTCTTCATCCTCTTGAGCTTGGAACATGTCGGAACAAAGTGGATCTGCCAGAAGTGTAGCGTCTGAAGATGCCCTAAAAAATTCCATGTCGTGGTGTTCAACTGTACGCAATTTCGTTTTGGTTATTGAGATACTCTTTTGCCTTGTTGTCAACAGTAAACTATGTCATCAGAAAGTGAAGCGTTCCTACCCACTTGTCACCAACTTTCTGCAATCTAACAACCACTGTATGAACTCTCATGTTTTGACGTGAACATGAGTCTTACATGAAATATTGGATTCTGCGGGATGTTGCAAGTCAACTTCTAATGCAGCCAACATAGTAACCTGTAGCTGATGCAATCACTGGGCAAAGCTTTTTCCAGCCCATGACATAGGAAAGCTTGTGTTAAGCTTAGGACATCCTCACAGTGAAGACCTCAACCGAAATCACTGGGAGGTCTAACCCTCCAAAACTGGCGTGGCCAATTGCCCTACCCATTCACTGCTCACTGCTAATTTGGTACTGGGCCCGCCAGATGAAGAGGTTCAGGCACACCAGATTTTGGCTTTGTGGAGTCACATACCATACTATAAATAGAAACTTTTGTTTAGCCACTAATAGTCTCGAATAAAAAGAGCCCTATAAATGAAGTTACCAAGTGACAAACACCCTGGCCTCCAGGTTTAAAGATATTGTGGACTGGTGGGGCCTGTTTCAGGAACAACAGTTGTGGACCTCACCACCCCCCAAGCACAACGGCGCGCCCATTTTATGGGGATGGATGTGATACAAGAGATCCTAAGTTTGTGGGAATGTGCTGTTCATGAGCACCTAGTTTTTAAAGTTAAAAAAAAAGGAGAATTGTTAACATTCCATTTTCAATTGAAATCGCTACACCCTATGTGACCTCCAAAGAATTTAAATTGACTAAAAAGCGTGCTTTGTGCTCATTTGGCAACCCAATATTGACCCAGAAATAGAATAAATTGAAAACAAGTTTTTTGTGGTTTTGACAACCAAAGTACAAAAACAAAACAAACAAACAAAAAAAAACAAAATTATGAATTTAATAGTTTTTGGGGCAATTATTATGGGTTTTTTTTTTTTTTTTTTTTTAATAAAAAGAAGCTAGCAACCATTTTTTTCATGAAAGATTCATTGTCTCTCTCTCTCAATCACCACTCTTTAATGGGCAAAAGAAAGTGGCATGCTATCAGCTAGATGTCTACACGGAGATCATGTGGGGGTAGCATTATCAATTAGGGATGTAGCCTTAACAATTCTCTTAAAATAAATAAATAAAGTCAATGTGCAAATTTGAAACTTAAATACAAATCAATTCAGTATGGTTGATGAATTTGTACTAGCATATGCATATCTCTGCACAAATGCCTGCAAAACACATATTTGCTAACAAGCAAGAGCTTTTTGTTATTTCTTTGTTATCATGTAATGTCCGATACATGCAATAATGTTCAAGATTAATAGAAAGAGAAACAAATACACAGGGACCACCCACTTAGTGGTGATATAGCCCTGCCAGCTCTTTTTTGTTTTGCCTTCAGCTATAGTCTTAGAATTAGAGTGGTGGTTGTGGGGAGATCAAACCCAAAGAGTCACAAACAAAGGAATGTTCCAACTGACAGGAAAGCCACACAGAGATTCTCCATTTCATACCTTACATGAGCATTTATCAAAAATATGCAGTTAAGAATTGAGCAAGCAATGAACTCCACCAGAGGACTTGGAACACCTTTCTACTTGCACACTTTTATTCAGCTTCACTGAATTGATTCCTCACGACCTAACTACAGATCAGTGTAAAATGATCTCTGAGCTAACAAAAGTTGTAAGGTGGGAAACAGCCAGTTCACTGAGCACAATGACCAACCATGTTGTCATGTGTTACAAAGACAAGAATATATTCACCACCCAATAAACACTAAGTGAAAACTATTGAGCTGAACACATGAACAAGGAACATTCCAGCAATCACAGGCACAATGAACAGAAATGGCTCCACAGTGATCTTTGCACACTTAAATAACTATCAACACACCATTAGAGGTGTTGATCCATTGATAGAGATGTTAAGGGAAGGGTTCATGGAAATGTACTTTGTAGTTTTTTGTTCATTAAATTGTTTAATGAAAATTATACAAAATTTCAACATGAGTAAGCACAACACAACAATAAATTATTAATAATTATAGGCTACCAACTATTGATTGCATTTCAAAAAGCAATAATTGAATAGCATTTTAAAAAACAAATAGGTTATCAAATAAGTTATAATATATATATATATATATATATATATATATATATATTGCCTTACATAAATAAATAAAAACTAGGATTACTATAATATATAAACAATTTAAAATAAATTTGATATTTTTTCCTAAAATATTTTTTTAAAAAAGGTAGTAAAGCTCAATTTTACTATAATAAAAATAAATTTAAATTTAGATATTTTTTCTATAAATTCTTGCCACTTTGTAAAGCCAAAAAGACAATAAAGAAATAAAGTGCCAAATTAATCTTCTATGCTAATAAGTGACAAAAAAAAAATTTATATATATACATATATATGCATGTAGTTTTAATTTCTATCTTGCCTTCAATGTTACAAAAAAAAAAATATTAATTTTTAAAGGTTATTGGTCATTAGAGGTAGCACATTGGAGACAAGATAGAAATCATTCTTGTCATTGCTATAAATCATCCTTTGCTTGCTTTCTCTGACAGCCATGTTGCCATGCTAGCCACATTGCCTTGCCTTGTCCAATTATATATGTTCATGTGGCTTTGCCAACTACATCACCTTTATTAATTACCTTATTTATTTAATATAATTCAATAAAAATCAATTAGTTATCAGAAACAAAAAAAAATATTAATTATGCACCATAAAATAAAGTTAAGTTCTAAAATTTTAATTAATTATTAGAGATTATTAGTTATTGTAAGAACACTTATTAAAGAGAAGATTATGCATGTACATCTATATATATATATATAGATGTTCATATTTATATTTTTAAATGCAAAGATAAAATTAAAATTTATTAAAAAAATAAATGGTGTTTTTTAGAAAATATAATAAAAAATAAGATTGATTTTTTTTTTTTAAAAACCATGATACAATGAATATACGCAAGAGCTTAGACTAAAAATTGATGATTTTTAAGAAATACTTTTATTTAATATTGAAAAAACTTAAATAATTAAAAATATTAAAAATATTACGTGGTATAATTTTAGATATTTGTAACTGTTTTATAGAGAAAGTCTACTATAAGATTAATTTGTTGCACAATATTCTTCTAATTGCACTACAATAAATTTTATTACATATTAGGATTCTTAGAAAGGCTTGCAAAGACATCTTGTTCTAATGCATTACTTTTCTACAAGACATCTTATTATGTATTGATTATATATATCTATATAATTATATATATACATATAATTATATATATATATATATATATAATCAAAAAAAAATAATACATGGTTATTTTTATAATCTATATCACAATTTTTTTTTTTTTTTTTTTTTTTTTTTTTAAAGTTTTCTGAAGAAGAGATAATTCAGAAGAACCAATCAATATATATATATATATATATATATATATAGACATCATTATAAGATATAATAAACATCATTATAATGATCAAATAATTTTTTAAAAGAATTTTAAAAAATAGAAATAATAATTAGAAGGAATTTGCATGAGAATTTACTTAAGTATATCAAGATCAAACTAAAAAAAAATCACACAAGAAGAAGATTAGTTGGAGCAACAAGAAGAATCTAGACAAAAAATGAGGACTAAATTTTAGAGATAAATTGATAGATAGTCTTCATTAAAAACATAAAATTTCCAAGATTTAAAATATTAATAATTAATAATATTTCAAAAAATATATAAAATAATTTTAATTGATACAAAAATAATTTAAATAATGCAATACAAGCTAATTTCTACTAGAATATTTGGATCTAAAGATGATTTTCAATATATATATAATACAAAATATTAATAGATAATATACATAATCTATTAAGCCTCTTAATCCTTCTCAAACATAATTCTAGATACTACAATCAATAAAAGATAACTTAGATCCATATAAGATAAAAAAAAAAAAAAAAAAAAAAAAAAAAAAAGCATTAAAACTATTAACATAGAGCCATCTTATTGATATATTTTTAGATTTTTAAAATATTAAAATATTGTAACTTTTAATTTTACTTGATATGTATGAAGTTTCAATCTGATTTTAATTTTCAGAAATTTCCAACTAAAACTTTGCAACTTTTGTACATTGATATAAATTTGGTTTGATATGTATGTATGTATGTATATATATATATATATATATATATAGATAGATAGATAGATAGATCATTTAATTGAAATAAATGTTTGTGTACTTATAATACAAATGATATTAAATTCGAATTAAAAATAAATATAATCAAATCTATATATTTCAAATATATTAAAGATATATTAAGAAAAAAAGTACTGAAAGTACATCTTGAAAATTTTATAATGTCACCAAAACAAAAATATACAAGAGTAGTTTTTCACCGGATATAGTATTCTATTTTGTAAATTCAAATCTTGCATGACATATGTTGTGTATTTTTTCTATTTTATTTTTAAAAAATTTATATATATATATATATATATATTCTCCTTCAAACAGAAGGTTTTCAAAGACTAAAAAAAGACGAAAAAAGTTTGATAAAAAAATAAAAAAATAATCAAGGTGTCAACATCTACAATCAGAGTGATGAAAATGCAATCTCCTTGAAACCACATGCAGTCCACCCTTGATACGTGTTAATACTTTAGAGCAACAAAACTTGTAACACTTATGAGGTGTCAACACTTTAACACTTTTTGGGATTAGCATAGACAATTTTTAAAACTTACATGAATAACATTTATGCAAATTTAGAATTAAGAATATTAACACTTATGTAAATAAAAGATGAAAACACACAGATATGGATGTCATCATACA